GGGGGGGGGGGGAGGAGGAGGCGAGGAGAGTGAACCGGATGAATGCGATCGAACTGGCGCAGAATTGCGAGCCGTTCGTCTTAATGGATAAATTGATCAATTATTCTTGCTCGTTAGCGCCGTCAAAATTTACGAGATTTATTTTTACGCTAAAAGTCGCGGGGCCGAATTGAATCAACTGGAGAAAAGTCGGAAGTGGACAGAATTGACCTCCTAGGAGCGCGCAGGAAATTGCAAATTTCTATTTTAATTTATTTCTCCTGGTAGACGGGAAAGTACAGGAGGAAGGAGGGACCCGCGAGAGAGTAGACAGAGGAGGAAATGAAATATGCTGGAGAGATAGTTGGCGATGGAATACGTGTGCGGAAAACAGGAAGAATTTATAGCGGCCCTTGTGCTTGTATTTATCGATAGAGTCCCACCCTTAACAAGACTCGCAACCGAGTTTAATGAAAAAAAAAGAACGACACGACAGGTCATAAAACCGCTTAAGTGTGGGGGAAGAGGACTTGAAAATCCGCAATGGATGGGCGCGCGATGATACCTTCCTCTCGTATCGCGCAAAAGAGAACACCGGGTCTAATTGGCCCAAGGGTTATGTCGGTCATGTGCTTTGTTTGTGTATTTATCGCGAAAGAAACAGCGAAAACGAAAATATCTCTTTTAGAACGTGAGCATTTTTCTCTGAGTTTTTAATTAAAGTAATAACGTAGTTAAAATATTTAAAAAATTGATTTAAAAGAGAGAGCCAGGTACATTCTCGTGTATCTCGACATTTCGTGTCAATATTTTCCATCGTAATTGAATAAATTTAACTTATTAGTTAGAATGGAGTTTCCTGCAAGTGTATACTGTTTCGAGTAATAAAAAGTACTTTTCATTCATATAATTGTTCTCTCTCTTGTATAATTATGTAATTCATAAAATAATTGAAAGCGAGCATATTTACGAGGTAAAGTTGACCTTACGCCAATATACATAAGAAATAAAGATTACAATATACTAACTCTCAGAAATATATCTTTATACTTTTCTTTGAAGCAAAACTATCATAACAAATCTTACTTTTTACAAAATTATTCTAAATGATAAAATATTTTTTAAGGTAGTAAGGTCATATATTTTTTATATGTGGCTTTCTTATCCTAGATTGCTAGTCAAATTGACCTAGACAAGATAGCCATATTGCAATATTTTTGTATTACAGTAAAAAATTTACGATTTACAAGATTATTACTGGCATAACAACAGAAAAAGATCGTTTCTATCATATCATCAATTACAATAACTAGTTGAAAAGTTGTAACATTTGAAATTCTGAAAAGTATAGCATCTTGTCTCGGTTTTCCCTGTCTCGCGCTCACAATACGAGCCGAGACGTGTTCACACACAAACGCGTGCTTTCTTTCTTTCTTTTATTGCGACAAATAAATGAATAATTTCACCTTCCTGTTAGCTCCGACGACACGTCGCGAAACAAATTTCTACTGACGATGATGTCGTACACTTCTCGGGCACGCTTGCGGAAGTCGAGCATTGTCGTCCCTCGTTAAAGCAGCATTCTTATACGGCTCCATGCGTCGTGTGTAGCTAATGCGTCTCGTGATCTGCAATACTGTTTAACCGATAACATGAATACACTTTTGGTTTCTTTGCTTGGATTTGCCTGCGAATCTCGTACGTGAAAGTCAGTTAATTACAGTCGTTTTATTTAGGGAGTATCCATTAACAGGGTAGGCAATAGTAAACTTTCAAATTTGAAAGATTCTGGTTTCGAAATGACAACTGTACGCAAATATTTAAAGAAAGATATATAAACTATTAATTGATAATTAAAAATGACATTTTATGAAAATTAACATTAACACAATAACAAATTTAACTTCTAATAAGCTTACGAACAAGGTTGTAAAAATTTGTTATTGAAAAAATGTAAGTAATAAAATTATGTTTTAAAATTGAACTTAAATTCGATTTTCAAGTCGACAATATATTTTGGAATTATAATTGAAGTCGAATTTAATTACGTTTCTAAAAAGTATTAAAAAAATATATAAAAAAATTTTTGTAATTAAAATAGACTTTAAAAGCAAATATTTTTTAAATTGTAATTAAACTCGACTTTAATACTAAAAAAGTATTTATATCTAATCTTAATTCCAATTAAAATTTCAAAAAATATTTACATTTAAATTTGAAATCAATTATAATTATAATTATGAAAAATGATTCGTAATATTAGGCAGAACTTTAGAGTTACAAAAGTATTTAATTATTTATACTTCACTAAAGTCTATAATAATAGTTGTTACTTGAGTCTTGTCTCAAGTCAGATTTGAATTCAAAGTTAGATGAAAGCTTTTTAGTTGAATCATGTGATTACAGATATAAATGTCTCATATATAATAATTTAATTGAAAAACTTGGATCTAACTCTAAATGAGAACCTGACATGAGAAATGTAGTAACTATTAATGCGAGTCTAAGAAATGTCATCATGTGCGTATTATATCCGCTCCTAGAAAAGAGAAATTTATTTAGAAATATTTTATAAAAATGAAAAATTAACACACATATATACACACATGCTACACGCACGCTGCGTGTCTCTTTTTTCAATACTTAATACATCTTCCCGAGCTATTCTCACTGACATTTTCCAATTAATTGAAACACAAGAGAAATGTCCGGGACTCTAAGCTGTATCTTACGCGAGTTATATCCGGGAAGGAAAGTTAAAAGAGTCGCGATCGCGCGACTCTTTTATTTGGACCGCTCGCGGGAAGATTTGCGAAAAACTCGCGATATGTCTCGCCGGCGGGCAGTGATGTATCGCGATCTAGCAAACCGTCGCGCTTTCGCGTTGAACATTCCGCGGTCGGCGAAGTCACGCGAGAAACGTCTACGTCCCTCGGACGGAAAGGGGGTGGGAGGGAGGGATGGAGGTGGAGGTTGCGCGAGAGACGAGGTCGAAGATGGGATTGGAATTGCAAATATCCCTCTTCTCCGTCTCTCCGATCTCTCCAGTCTCTCTGATCTATCTCGCCGCTTCTCCATCGACCGTCCGCTCGTCCTGACCCCAGAGAGCGCGTACGAGATGCATGTCGCGAAGCATATTTTACGGAATCTTTGCCGGACAACAAATCGCCAGATTTCCCTCCCTCCTCCCTCCCTCTCCGCCAACGTCGGATTTAGAGTGTTCGTTGCCGTGAATTGCGACACGAGCGAGACTCGCTTCTTCCATCGGCGCGTTCGAGAGACGAATTCTCTTCGGTTTGAATCAGGTTCTCCTGTTATTTTTCAGCCGGTGGACACGCGCATCAATGATCAGACTTGTCTTAAGATCGCCCGTTCTCTCCACGAGCCGAAATGTGGCCGCGAAAAATTCAAAGTTGCCGTCCAGTCGCGCGGATTCCCGGTTTGACCCAGAGACTCGCGTAACTCTCATATATCGAAATTCGTTCCCGTTGGGCGTCCACGTGTCACCCGTGAAAGGATTCGCATCTTCTATCTGTCGGCGATTCATCCTTTCCCCTCGCCACGGGGGTAAAAGAACGGCAACGATGGGAGGTAACGACACACGAGGACGCGCGAGGTAGACGAGTCGCCGGCAGCAAACGGGCGCGCGTTGCGTCAAATTAGCTTAAAAGCCCCGGGCCAGCGAGATGTACAACGCGTGCTGCGACATACACGGGCCGCGCACAATGTCCAACGCGCGGAGGAAAAGCCCTATGCGCCCTCATATATCACCCGGAGATAAAAGGCTGCCAGACGACGACGGAAAGTATAGTGGTTTCGGCGACAAGCCGGATAGGCGGTTCATTGCGCAGCTGCACCTCGCTGCCCCCGTAATAATTCGGAGGTCGTCGGCAGAAACGAAGAGAAATTGTACGTCGCGCCCTAGTATCTATTTACTTCCTTTCAGTAAATAACGAAAGTATGTGCTCCGGCAAAAGCGTCCCCGTTGCAATCGGGCGACCCCGTCTCGTCGT